TCCCCATTGAGGACTCTCTATGCGATATGGAGATTGACACGGAGTCATCCTTGACCATAATGTCTTGGGCAGTGCTCAAACAGGCTATCCCTAGCCTTAAAAAGCATCAGCTGCGGGTTCCAGACATCCGCCTTCGCGACTACCAGGGGAACCAAGTCCCCATCATGGGCCAGGGGACCTTCCAGGTGAGGTTCAAGACTTTCTGCGGCCAACTACTAGGTAGTCAACGGTGACCTACAAGACTTGGGCCTAGAAGTGACCGTAATTGACGCCATATGAGATGAAAGCACTGAGAAATTCCTTAAGAAGTTCGAGGACGTCTTCGGCACTGGTCTAGATAAGTATGAGGGGACTCCAATATCTTTTAACTTGGACCCCAATGAAGCCCCCATCAGGCTAAAATCCAGGAGAGTACCTTTCGCTCTCCGTCCTAAAATTGATGTGGAATTAGACAAATGAATTGGCCAGGGAATCCTAGAGCCGGTAGATCACGCACGCTGGGAGACTCCTATAGTGACACCTGTCAAGACTGACAGGTCTGTCCGCATCTGTGCAGATTACAAGTGCACAAAGCTTTGCAGCAAAGCACTTGTCCTGTATCCATTGTACAGCATTTACTGCACTCATTAGGCCCAGGAAAAGTTTTGGCAAAATTAGATATGGCGCAGGCATTCCAGACGTTGCCTGTAGATGGTGCCACGGCGGAGGCCCAACCCATCATGATGCACAAGGGTGCATTCATATGTACCTGCCTTCAATTTGGAGTTAGTATCGCCCCTGGACTGTTCCAAAGTGTCATGGAACGGCTTTTGCAGGGGATTCCAGGAGTCGTCCCCTATTTTGGTGACATATTGATATCGGTTGCAAATAAGATGCAATTATTTAAAAGATTGGGAACTGTTCTGGCCAGAATCAGAAACAAAGGTCTCTGCCCCAAAAAAGAAAATTGCCAAATTAACGTGCCAAGGGTTGAATTCCTAGGGTACCTCATCAACGGCTCTGGGATTCACCCAACCAACAAAAAATTAAGGCAATCCAGGATGCCCCCACACCTCGCAATCAGACCGAACTGCAGGCTTTCCTCGGGCTCCTTAACTTCTACAGTGTTTTTCTCAAGCAGAAAGCCACGGTTGCTGAGCCTTTACATCGGTTTCTTGGCAAACACACCGAGTGGTCCTGGTGCAGAGCTGAAGCAGCCGCATTTGCCATGGTGAAGAAACTGCTGTCAGCGGACACGTTTTTGGTCCAATATAGCCAGACCCTGCCACTTGTCCTA